GTGTGTGTGGAATAGCACTGATTAAAAGTCTGTTTGTATTAATGAAATTCATCTTGAAAGGCGTTTTGTTTGGTTTTAATCAAACAATATAAAATTGAGAGTTGTGAGAGAGTTGTGAATGTGGGAAATGGGACTTGGACTACATTATTTTGTGATGATAACTTTTACAGTAAAGTACATGATTATTTTCCAAATCTTTTAAATCTGCTTTTGGTATGATGTTCAGTCATAAATAATTAACTCAAAAGAATGTCTAAACCTATTTAAACATTGACATAAAACAAGCCAGACAGACCAGTATACAGCATTATCCAGTAAGGTGCTTCAGTGCCTTCTTGTGGCCACATAGTCATACAGTCACTTTCTACTTCAGCAGCTCAGTTGAAACCTGTGCAATTTAAGCAACAACACAACGAAACACACACATTGTAAAAATACCAAACTCCATGCTCTAATCCGAGAGATATTAAGTACCAAAAGCTTTATGAGTCACTGTTTACTGAGTGACAAATTATACGCACATCAAAAATGATCCCCGCATTAACCACTACTTTGTCCTCTTTTCCCTATCCAGTCAAGTCAAAATTACCTGTCTTGTTTTCGTAAGAGACTAGAGGCCATACATCATCCTAATGCATGAGGCAAGAGATGGTCAGGTGAGGAGACTACACTGGTACCACTATAATGATATCAATCACCACAATGAAGACAGCAAATTCAAATGCAGGGTACAGATGGAGACAGCATTCCCTCTGCTCCAGGTTTCTACTCCATACACTGCACTCCGATCATTATTTAATGCAGAGAATCAAGGGTGGCTGCTGCTGTAAAAGGAAGCATTAATCAATTGTATGCATGTGTGACAAATTCAATAACCCCATGCATGAATGAGAAGTGCGTTTGATTAAGGCTATAGCTGTGACTGCACTATACTTGACCTTTAGCTATCACTCCACTTTGGGAGAGATTCAATTAACGTACAAGTCACTTAACAGACAAAGAGGTGTGCTGACAGGGTTAGCAATCATGCACAAGACAGACTATATCCTACACACTTTCTAGTTCTCCCTGTAGAAGAAGAAAAGTCCATACTGTGTTACTATGCATGACTGTGAGGTCTGTGTAAGTACAGCAGGGTTTCTTTTGTAACAAAAAGTATATTAAAGGATATCAATAGAGAATGTTTTACTTTTACAAACAGTACATGTTTACAGTACAATCAGTAGTGTTTGTAGCCTACTTGTGCAAAATGGCTTAGTTTACTTATGAACATGTATTTATTGTGTGATCAGGAAATGGATAATCATTTAGCAATAATCTTGACAGTTACTTAATTACTTGTTAGTTAATCTTCACAATACTAACATTGTAGTTACTAAGGGTACTGATGGGGAACATGTAATACAATTTTAGTGTTAAATGGCCTTAAAGCCTTTCTTGTGTTTTATTATGACAAAATAACATTTGATGAAAATCTGGCTATTCGCCCAGGCATACTTTCTATTTCAGAAAATACACTCAATATTATAGCAATTATAATGTCCCAATAGTATTAATAATACAAATTCCTTTAGGAAATTTGTATTCAGAACACACAAAGTTGGCAATGATGTTGAACACAAACCCCTGGCTTTCATATAATGAGGCTTTTTGAGTGTAACAATTGCGCTGGCTTGCTCTCTGTCTATTTCTCTTAACAGTGGAAAAAATCAATGGGCTTTGCCTGGGGCACAGACCTTTGCACTAAAAGCTATTGTTCTAAGAAGCGGCAGAGCTGTGTTTCCCTGATTCTGCGTCCCATGCGGTCTGTTGGCTGTAATGCTTGCTTTGGTTAAGAGCAAAACAAGTTCATTTCACTTAGCGTCACAGTGTTGTCACATACACTCAATGCCTGCAATAGCACTAAGCACCCAAGAGGAAACAGAAGACTGTCCCGGACCCCAGGGAATAACGGAGGAGTGCTTTAAAGGCACCATAAACACTGCAGTGATGTGCTCTGTTTGGTGTGCACCTGAACAGCTGCTCAAAGCCCCCAGAAGTCACTGTGAGGCTAATATAAACCAGTCAACCAGACCAGACTGCAGGAAGTGATGCCACTGTTGTTTAGATGCTGTGCTGAGTCACGCCACTCCACACAAACTTGAAGAAAGAACAGGTTTGATTCAAACAAGCAAATGGTTGTCAGAAAATGAAGGAGGCTTCAAATAAGAGACGAGAGGCCAATCAAACAAAGCTCCAAAGAATCAGGTTACTGAAGGAGGAACTGTGACGGAAGAAACACTCACAATCTGTAATTAAGCAAAAGTAATGATGGTTCTAAATGGGTAGTAAACAAATGAGTACAAGTACTACAGTTACCACAACAAAGCCACATACAATGGAGCCTTGGAATAGTAAACACATCTTACATTTCTGCATAATCTGTTATAGCCATTTTCATTAGCCATTTCAATAAGCCTGTGTCATTGTTGGATGCAGAGGTTTACAGACCCAGCTGGTCACTCACTGGGGAGAGAATTAAAGTCTAAAAATGGAAGCAATTTTCCTCCAAGATTAGCCCGAAAGGAAAGAAAGACAACTGTAACAAAGCTGTGGTTGACAAAATGAACCGTTATGCTGCTGGATCATCTTTATAGCATTTTGCAATGAAGAGTTTGTAATTGAATTCTTTCATTGTGAATACTTTTACATAGAGATATCTTCTTAAAGCAATGTAAAAGTAACCGCACTGCAAAAGAATAGATGGCATCATACATTTTCAAATTCATAACAGTTAAAACGTTATATTCCGTTTTTCTTTGCAGGCTCGTGTACTAGTATGCACGCCTCTATTGTTTACATGAGGGGGCCACCTGCTGGACAAAACATGCATTGGCTAAAATTCTTCAGTTGCAAGGCAGTATTTCAATTCTTCTCCTGGTGGATGCAACAGAAATTAACCTCTCACAGCTCTTTGACATATATAATCAGCAACAACAATAATATTAAGTGATAGCGATCTCAGCCTTCACAGTGTATAGCTTGTCCAGGCCATCACTTTCACTTTCATTCAGTACTATGGATAACTGGTTTTATGTTGTTACACAAGTCTATTATCGGACTACAATACCCCAGGCTCTGAGTTTTCCCAATAAAACGGCAGTGAAGGATTGACATTTTTTGGAAGTCGACATGACAGCTACCAACTGTATGAAGGTCAGTGTAATGAGACTGTGCTGTAGAGAGGTATAACGTGCAGTGTTCAGGTAGCGGCTTATGACACATCATTTGTCACTGTTAAACCACCCAAATCTACTCTAGTTTACATTATTCTATACAGTACTCTGCATAAAATGTCAGTATAGTGAGAAATATGATGGGAGCTAAGGATACTCGAAAAACTGTAAGTAGTTTATCTTCATTATTTCAGGAGGGAAAATGTACACTGGTGGATGATGGGTTATAGGAGGTGGGTGCATTAATGTTTAGTTTTGTTAGTAGTTTAGGTGGCAATTTATAATAATTACCGGTACATAATAACTATATCTTAACTAGCCATAACAAAGTGTGGACAAAGATTTGATTCATAATGGACAAATATTTTATTAAAATGAATTAATTTTTTTTATGTAATACGCTAATCCTAACTCTAACCCTGTTATTAAAAGGTCCATATTATGCTGATCTATGTTACAATGTTGTTTCCTCATTTAAAACATACTTCTCTCAGATGGAAAACACTCCAACATGATCTGATATGGGATTATACAGGAAGGGTTCAACTATGTTCAACTCCATACACCATAATTTCAGCCCTGATATTGCCAGTCTCTTCTGAACTAAAGGTAAAAGGTAGCTGTTCGCTTGAAAACTACAGCTTCATGATATCACAAGGTGGAACAGGGCATTTTGAGTTTTGGAGATATAAACAGAAAAAGGATAAAGAATTCCTCAAACATGTGTAAATGAAACTAAACACAACCCCAGGCATGTTTTTGAGGAGGACACTGCATTAGAACATGGCTTAAAGCTCACAACAATCTATTTTGTGTAATATAGGACTTTTAAGTTACTAAGCCTGAATCATTCAAACTATTTATTCATTAAGAATTTGGGCATGATTTATTAAGGCATGAATAACTTTAAATATTATAAAGTATTACCATGGTATTTTGTTTGTATTTGGCATTTTTATTTCCTTTATGTGATACACCACTTTCTATTCTTTCTTGATTTATAAAAATAACTTCAAAGTGCATATTATTATCACTATCCACTAGACAAGCTCTCGGCAAAATCGAGTTTATTCCTCGTGCTGCCGCTCTGCTTGTCCCCTCTGGCTCATCCCCCCTAATATTTTTTCCTCTTTTTCGAATTGGGCTGTTGCCATATTGTTGATGTGTTTGGAAAAATAAGCATTTTCTCAAGGTGATGATGACCCTCACTGGGAAAAGAAGTGGAGCTTCTGAAATCCTATTATCTAGAAGCAGGCCTCATTGTATCTCTATCAGCTGCACTGGCCAATCTGCAGCTACACACTTTCCAGTGGTCACTCCTACATTCACTCTATCACAATCTCACCTGCAGAGTAAACATTGTATAACTGTTGATAAAATAAATATTTAAACTTTTATGTCCTTTTTGAAGAGAACAAGACAAAACTAATCATTATTTTGATTTGCTATTATAGTTTTTTTTAGATGTCGATCATGTTTGGCTACAATATTCACTCAATCCACGTATTATTTATTGACTGATTTTACTTTCCACTCTGCCGGAACAAATCTAGTTCAGAAATGAGAGAATCCTAACTATTTTGCAAAATACGACATGGGTGATTGCCTATGCTTGTTATGGACGCCATTTAAAGACCATTCAGTTTGTTAGTTTTGAATTGTTAACTGCTATAGCAAAACTTTTGGCGTGCATTTTAGAATTTAGGAATACAATATCTGAATGTAACTTCACACACAGTTTGAGAATTAAAAATCACAAAAGAAAATATATTTGAAAGTATTTAATCAGTAATTTGTGCCAAAATGAGAGTTGATCTTGGAGATAGTAATGTAAATAACTAAACCAGTAATTGTATAAGTCTCTTGTTCAACATCATGTACAAAATGCATCTTCACCTGGCCCACTTCATCTTTAAAATGGATTAGAAAACGGTTCCCTTCGTAGTTACAATCAGTGTGAGCCGACTGATCTACTTCCAGACTAACTGCAGAACTAACATACCACAAAGGGATCTTGAATTCATCCAGTAAAGTCACTGTCATGATGCAGCAATTCTATAAAAGATACAAAAAAAATATAATGTAATGACTTGAAAATATTGTATGCTGCTTTTGTAATCCTATGAAAGATTATTCACAGCCTTTAAACTACTTGCTCACGCTTCTATCATCTTTCTATGTGGTAAGAGTTGGAGTGAAGAGGTGTGAAGTGGCATACCTGCACAGCTCCTTGCAGGGCCTCACACCTCCAGGGGAGATTGATGCTGCCAGACAGAGGTGTGTGTTCAGACAACCTGTTCCTGTGAATGGCAGTCAGCTGCATGAGTCCATCGCACATCTGAGCTACACATAAACACACACACATAATTAGTCACAGAGCTCACAATATTCAAGTTGCCTTTATATGATTGAGTTTGAAATTTAAGTTACATTTATGACAGAAAAGTGAGGCGAAGCTTTCGGACAAAATTGTGCGCTTGATGTTGTGCAAAGTGATGTGTAGATGGTAACCATGGAGACCGTATTCAGGATCGATGTCATCAAAAGGAGGCTTGGCTGCTGGCTCAATGAAAGGGCTATGAATCAAAATACAATTAAAGACACAATGTAATTACAGGTGCCATATTGTACATATTATATTGAATTGTTTTAGTGGAATTGTTTTAGTGGATCTCCCAGGTCACCAGTAGAGGGAGCCATCTCCACACTGTGTTAAAAACAATTCAATTACAAGGAAAGTAATATCTGAAAAAATATTATATGTAGGTAGGAATAGGTTTACATTGCACTTTTGAATAAAAGTGGTGTGATATTCATGACTTGTATCAAATGAAGCCCAGCTAAACCACTAAAACCCACTTTTTGACAATATTCCAACTAGTAGATTTGCCTCAACATAAAAGTAAATATTTGTTAGCTTTGAATTTATCAGAATAAAACTATTTGCATAGCGTAGGTACATAAAAACCACACAACAGACCCAAAATGTGTACAAACATCTCTAACAGAATGCATTGAAAAAATATAATATAATCCAATGACGCTATTTCACCATTAAAATTATGACTCATTTAAAAACAGTGCTGATTCTTTGTGTTTTCCCCACAGTGAGTGAAAAGCAGGTCACAGACAGGCTCATCTGACAGAGGAGAGTGTGAGTCAGCGCTGCCTGCTCGAGTGTGGCCTACCAGACTGAGGATCCCTGGGTGCTCCTCTCCACCAGCCTGTGGAAGTGAAGGCACAACAAGACGAAGGCCACAGAGCACTGGTCCTGAAAGAAAGAATTGTGTGGCATCTTTTTAAAAATGCTACCAGTGTCACTCTAGGCATGTACTGTACTAACCTTCCAAAGGCCCACAATAACACCAGGCTGCAGAAGCTTAAGTTGCATCAGTTTGTCTTGACCAATATGCTGAGTGCTTTTGGATACAGTCATGTCTAAAGTCATCATCAGGGACCTCTGTGCTGGTCTGCCATGAAAAATATGTACCATTTTTACAAAAAAAATATGTACCATGTATGTAAGTAATGGCAGGTATTTATGACATTGATGTTTTCATTGAGTAAAAAATCTGTATACAAAATCACATCATGATTTGCATAGATTTAAGAATAATGCAAAGTTATGTTTCCATAGCACTTAACAATTCAAAACTAAATATTCTATCTTTTGAGTGGAAAATTGTCCTCAAAATGGCACTATATAACAAGAAGCTGAAACACATCAATATGGACAAAGACAAGGTCTTAATGACGTAAATCCTTTGTATTTAGATCAACAGCAGAATCTACAGATAAAAAAATAAAAATAAAAATAGGTTAAGGTTAGGGTTAAAATTAAGTTTAGGCATTTAGTAATTATGGTTAAGCCTGTCACCATAATCACAATATCAACTTATTGTTCAGTATATCATAGTTGGAACCTAATATTTTGGGGCTCAATATTTATTGTGTATATTTGTTCTGTGCAATAGTGAGGATGGGGATTTTTTTTGCCATTTTTATGTGATCAAATTTAGGTTCAGTCTGCCATACATTGCTCAGGCTTTTTAATTATACTGTCTTTTTTTTTTTAAGTGTATTTTCAACATTATCACAATATTTCTTTGTAGCATGATATGTGCTTCAAAATGTGTTATTGTGACAGGCCTGACTATGGTTGGTTAACATTATGATCAGTTTCTAGGAAATTAATCTAAGTCTATGTAATGTTCCCAAAAATCATGCAAACCCAAGATTTGTGAATGCATTAGTATGAGGTGGAGGCTGCCTTACTTCTTCAGACCGGTGCGGCTGAGTGCGACCCTTCTGACCCCGTGGAGCTGGACAGCAGAGATATTGTGGAGGTCGGGCAAAAGGCCGCTCCAACACAGAATCACAGAGGTCTCCAAGAACTTCAGCCAACTCAGGTCCAGTGTGCTCTGCTTCTGTGACCGCTCCACCACCGTCAGCTGCCAGCTCACATGAAGGTTCCTGAAAGAGTGAGAGGGTGTAAGATTAGTCATGATGCCATCAGTGGGTGTACACTTTGTGCCACTTTCAAGTTTATGTAAATGAAGAGGACTGTATCAGGAATGGCATCTGGTGTCTATACAACTGACTGTAAACTATATAATAAAAAAAACAATAGTTGCCATGTGGTGGATGGGAGACAAGTTCAGATTATCTCCAAGACCTCACCAAACTGAAAGTTCAAATTTTGTAAAGTTATGAAATAAATACACTTTTTATTTGAAAGTGTTTTTCATTATTTCTAATTTCTTGGGCTGACATCAAAAACTATAGCCATATTTTTATTTTTGCCTATTCCATCTATACACTATACAGGCTGCAAATAGAAAGTAATCTAATGTACATTATACTCTAACTATTAATATTCTAAAATAAAGTGTAACCAACGAAATATAGGATATTAAAATGAAATTCTTGGTCAAGTTCGATCTAGAGATTTTACTTAAGTGATGCAGCAGTCAGGCCCCATCCAATATCAATTAAGTGGGAGAAACCTGGAGCAGCCGGGGAGGCCTGGTATTACCTCTGGGACTGGACTCCACTGAGTGCGAGTGAGGGGTGTCTAGTGGAATGATTATTACCAAGGTAAATGGGGAGCTCCAGCAGACAAAACCCCACAGGGACATGTCTCGGGAGAAGGGAAGCCTGGGATACTATGAGCAAGTATGAGTGTGTGTGTATGTGTGTGTGCGTGCGTGTGCGTGTGTGGAGCAGATGAAGGCTAGAGGTGCTAAGTAATTTATTTCAACCATTCAGACTGCCTCAGCAAGGAACACAATTATTTCGCCTTCCTCTCAGTAACGGTGAAGGATACAGAGTTCCAGAATTGAGTGGTGCACAGCTTCTAATCAGAGGTTATGAAAACAGGGCTGATACTGCAGTGAAGACAGCAAGGAGCTTTCCCCACGCGCATGGCATCCCCCTGAGCAGACAACACTACCAGACACACACCTCTACTCTCACCTTTAATAACAGTGTCATAAAAAAGAAAAGAAAGGGAACATAAAACTGCTTTTTTTCTTTTTGATTTCAAGTAGTCTCTCCACTCTCAACTTTCTTGACAACATGGCTGTAAAGTTTAGCTATGTTTGGGGAGAAAAGCATTGGGGATTCCTGGGATATCTCTGCACCTCACTGCTTCTTATTGTACAAAGCATACAAAACAGATGGTGATGTAGATACACTGTAGTCTGTGTGAGATATGGACCAAAACACACAAAGGGGATGTGCAGCCAAAAAGGAACAGAGAATATAGTTTGTACGAAGAATATAAGAGGTGCATTTGCTTTGAAACATAAATCTGATTTTCACCTTTCTTACCTGAGAACTTGTTCTGTTTTACTAGGCAGTCCAGTGTGACGGTTGATAACATAGCGGCTTTTCTTCCACTTGTATGTGTCACAATCGGCTCCTGTTTTGAAATACAGCCATTTCCAGTGGCCAACATCCAGATTACTGATATCAGCTGTCTTCTTTAACAAGTCCTCTACAAATTTGGGATAGAGCTTTCTTTTTTTCCCAAACTCTTTCAGGAAGATCTTATGCCACAAAGCACTGTAATCATAAAGAACAATGTTATATATAGTTTAACTTTATTTGCATCTTAAAAAACAACATTAAACGCTTACTTGTCACTGGCTAGTTGGTAAAAGAGACTGTTGACGTGGCTTAGCGTGAAAAGAGCAGCAACGTCGAGGTATGACAGGATCTTAATGAGGATCTCAGAAGGCAACCTACACAAAGGGTGATAAGACAACACTGTAAACAATAGCTACTTATTATTATGCCAAAGTCAGTGCAGTTCATGAAAAGCACAAATGCTCTGTTTTTCTTTACAAAGACACAAAACTGGCCACCCAGTGAACCACACAGCCCTACAACTGAGTGTATCTATCAGTGCAGTGTGGGCATAACCATTTTCTTAAAAATGTGAAGCCGTTTCAGTAGGTGGTCATTGCAATAGGCTGCATTGTGTTGCAATAATGAGTTCTATCACTTCAGTTGGTTTCCTATCACCTTGTCACTGGAGAAATATATGTAGCCTATTTTCTCGTAGCTTGACAGTTGGTGACTGTTAGTTAGGTTATTAAGCCTATTAGAGTTAGCTTAGTTTTCACAGGCTTTATATTGATTTGTTTTAAGCTGTCCCGGTGCCCACCGAAAACCCCGTGATTTAGCTAACATCACGGGACATTAAGTTTAACCATGACACGCTCCAGTGCTAAAAGTCAGACAAGTGAAAATAGCGTATGCTCTGACACGTTACTTTTCTATCGAGCTCCGAGCACATGGTCGTGATGATTTGTCCGCTCTTTTTAGTGTGCTTTTCGCCTTCACCGCGGAAATAACGGCTTTTGGTGTCGCCATTTGTCTCCTGCTCTCCTCCTGACCTCCTTGACAGTCAAGATAACTTATCCGAGCGTCATCATCTTCAAGGGCTTCTGTGTCTCCACGACTTCCCAAAGCAGGTGGATTATATTCAAAGTAAACCTAACGCTAATCTGTATGGTACGTTTGATACAGGTGTAACTGCGACTGTCCAGTGTTTATCGTGTCGCCATGGTGATGTTGTGTCAAACTTCCGTCTCTCACACACACTTTTTCCGGTAGGAGTCTAAAAAGTAAAATAGCACTTTTTTTTTTTTTTTTTTTTTTTTTTTTTTGACTTATGAGAAAGTGACTGAACACTGAGTTCTGTAGTACTTTGACCAAATATAAATGTTTTGGTTCAGGAGTATTATAGGCAGCATATATGGATGTTGTAGCTATGAGAACACAACAGGGCCGGTGAGTCGGCCAGTCTAATTACCAATAGGGGCTTTAGGTCTAAGTGTAATTGGCTATAGACTAGATCTGATTGAAGTAGCCTGCCCAAGTCGTGAGAGGAGAACATTTCCAATAATAATGTCATTATGTAGTGGCCAAGAGAAGTGGAGCTGGGGCACACTGTGACTTTTGGAGCTCTGAAGATGCTGATGCATTTGAATGTGAGCATAGCCAGATGGACTGTCATACAGATGGACCCGTATTTTAGAATGGACATATGGCCATCTGAGCACACTCTGGGGGATAAACTGTATTTGATCTTATTTGATGAGCTTTAAATACATCTCTGAATAAAATAATCACTAAATTAATAGAATATTAATTTAATTTTCATACAAAAGATAGGCTACATCCAAAGAGAGGTTTGTTTTTTTTTTTTTTCTAAAGCAGACAGATCTCTAGTCTCCACATGATTGACCTTCCCATCTCTTAAATCCAGCGGGCTGGCAGCCGCTCAGAGGACATCACTGTCATGAGTCTGACTATGAGCCTGCCGTAGCCTGTTCAAGAGAACTCTTTTTTTGGGCAGAGCCAGCCTCAAGTAGTCTATGTTAATGCAACAACCGTGCAAGCCACATGGGTGTGCATGGGATGTTCCTCTCTCTCTCTCATGCACATCTTGACATTTGATGTGTTGTGTGTCCTTGTGAAGGCCCCGGGTCAGCTGTGGCTCCTGGATACCTGATGTCACTCTTCCGCTTGGTTTGTCAGTCAGCTCTGACAGTGAGCGCCAGGAGGAGGAAGATCGCCATGTTTAAATGTAGAACACAAGTCTACAGCAAGTCAAGAGATTACCACACAACACATGGCAATAAACCTGTTAGGGCCATTTTAACTCAACAAACAAAATGTTTCTTTATTTGACTTTTTCAGTATTGGAATTACACTCATTTTGAACAATTTTTAACCACCACAAACAGGGCTGGGAGATATAAGGATAAACCCATGATTCATCTGATAATATGCTATTTTGAATATAACCATCCACAAGGAAGTATGAATTCTATGAATACACAGACAGTTGTAGTTACGTCTTTGATGCGGTGTGAAGCTAGTGTACATCTATTATGAGAAAAGAAAAAAATTTAAATAAAATAAAACATGAATTGAAATAGATTTTTTTAAATACCACACATGCTAGAATACCCAAACCCTCAAATGGATCACTGTATAGCAAAAGGATTGTTTATGACATGAAGTAGGCTATATTAACTCAAGACATAAATAAATTCAACACAGTAACTTCCGCTGCATGTGAATGTGAGATCCATGCATATAAAAGCAGACAATGGAGAAAAGATGGCAGCTCATTAAAGTTAGTGTGGTGTACTGCCCACTTCTAAAGCCCTGTCAGAGGTGCTGAGGACCACTAAAACCTCTATGAAGCTCTTCAAAGGCTGAGGCACGTCAGGACCAGAGGAGAAGCCATTCATTATCTGTGAAATATGGACATTTTCTGTGTCACTGAGAGAAAGCACCATGTCTTTAATATGTATTTTACTCATATGTCATCCACTAAAACTGCCAGGTCACATAAGACTTATAATTATGTCATCCTTAAAATATCACTAATCAAGTTATATTCATGAATAAAAGTTAAAAAAGGCTCATTTATTATTATGTTAATAGAAATGTTTATTTAAGAGAGAGCATCCCAAAACTAAATGGAGAGAGCGCATACTTTAAAAAAAGTAAAGAAAAAAGAAAGAATGAATGAATAAAAAAATGTAAGTGGACAAGATTTATTTTGTTTTTATTTATTTGGTTTATTTAACAGGGACAGTGTACATTAATCACCATTTCTGCAAATGTATCAGAATTAGCTAGAGAGGCTATTATTCGTCAGTCCCTGGACAGATGGTAAACATCAATACTACTGAAGCAATAGTCATCCAAGGACATCACTTTTTCACTGTTTAATCTGAAACAATGATCCATAAGACCTGTCTGATGTCTTCTCCTTACTCAAAGCAGAAATAATGAACTAGTTCTACCACTGGATGGCGTGCGAGTATCTATGTTTGAATCAGTCCTCTCCTGGAATCAAAGAGGCTTAGTTGATTTTTAAATGAAAACTATGTGGAACGTGCTGTGTAACTTTATCCACCTTTGCCCCCTTCATTTAAAACGAATCACATGAGCCATGAGAAAGTATTTATGAGTGTCACGGAGCTCCAGTTGTCTTAGGAGTCCAGTGGGGTCCCGACAGTTTGGTTCTCTCTCGTGAATAATCTTTAAACAAAAGCCTTTCGCTTTTAATTGCTTCGGGGGGCACTTCTGAGGAGTTATTGTACTGGCTGCACGCGCATCAGAATGGGCGTGAGTTGTCCCTCGAAAGACAGTTTAGACTACACTACTCGGACCAGTGATCTGTGAGCGCAGATCATTTGAGTCTGGGAGAGATAAGGCAGAGCAGCTGCGGGATGGAGAGAACAGGTATGTCGTGTTTTTGCTTTATTTGCAAAAGTAACTGAATGCAATTAAACTGATTTCATTGCGTTTAGAAATTACTACAATATGTGATGTTTTTTGGGGGTTCAGTTTAAAATACAAATAAAAAGCAAACCTAAATAAGTCAAGCGTAATGTGGTGCACAAAAGATGCACTAGGCTTGCACCCTGACTACAAAAGCTTTCAAGTATTTGGAGTTTGGAAATATGATCTCCTTTTACGCACAGTAACCTTTTACGCACGGAGAATACACGCCGTTTAAAAGACAAACAAAAAGACCATTTATGATTTTAGTCTTACATGGTGTTTTTTCTCATTCAACTAACAGGATTTATAGCAGTCGACTGAATATTCTTCTCAAACCAACCCAAGACGCATAAGAGGGAGGGGAGTGAGAGCGTGAGCGCGCGTGTCAGAGGGGGTTTGACACAGAGACACAAGAGCAAGGAAAGGAAACAAGGGGAAATTGAGTGTGGATCGAGAAGAGCAAACGGATTCTCCAAAAAGGGAGCGGCTAGCGGTCGTCCTTTTGTGCCATGAACATGGTGCCAGTGCGCTGCCAGGGCTCGTCGTGCGCCATGCTGCCGCTCGCTCTGCTGCTCCTCTTGGGATGCGGTGTGGCTCTGTGCCTCGGTCAGAACGAAACGGAACCCATCGTTCTTGAGGGGAAGTGTCTCGTGGTGTGCGACTCGAACCCTTCCTCTGACGGAGCCGTTACTTCGTCACTGGGGATTTCTGTTCGCTCAGCCGGTGCCAAAGTGGCGTTCTCAGCCGTGCGTGGGACCAACCACGAGCCCTCCGAAATGAGCAACGCATCCATGACCATCTACTTTGACCAGGTGAGGCGGCCACTCCAAGTGTCGAGAGTAAAACTTGGGACTCCCCCTTTTACGCATGCCTGAATGTGGACGAACGCACAGTGTACGGCGACTTTTACAGCAAACGAAATAGTTTTAGGTTAGTTTTAGATATGTACATCCAACAGTTCTTTAAGACTAAAAGAACAAGACCAGATAAAATGCTGTTTTTTAATGGAATTTGATGCTGTCGGGATTGTGTAAGGTCCCCCTACACCAGATATGACAGTTTCAGGCATAATGGCATTGTGTGTGCTTATCAGGGAGCGGATAGATTCAATGTGATGTATTTTAAATTGCACTAAAACAAAATATTTTGCGTTGTTCCATCATTGTTCGTCTGTTTGCACAGTTTAAAGGTTTTTGCTCAATCTCACTGTATTCTAAAGATTTTTCTGAGCAATGATGACCCCTAACCCCTTGTTTTTACAGGTTTTAGTGAATATCGGCAACCATTTCGATCTGAAAGCAAGTGTTTTCCAAGCTCCGCGGAGGGGAATATATAGTTTCAGTTTTCACGTTGTCAAGGTCTACAACAGACAAACCATTCAAGTAAGTCAGCGCTCTGGGTGTGTGTTGAGCCGCGATAAGTAGAAGTTTTAACCATGTCGGTTTACTGCATTACAGGTGAATCTGATGCAGAACGATTATCCAGTGATATCAGCCTTCGCCGGGGACCAGGACGTGACGCGGGAGGCTGCCAGCAACGGCGTGCTGCTGATGGTGGAGCGGGACGACCGAGTCTATCTGAAGCTGGAGAGAGGCACCTTAATGGGCGGATGGAAATTTTCCACCTTCTCAGGCTTTCTAGTGTTTCCTTTATAATCGACCGGCTCAGAACCACGCCAAGACCAACACACACCACTCGCCATCTCTTTTTGACTTCTTTTGACTAACTGTTAACAAACTATCCGCAAAGGAAGTCGACAAACCTGTATAACTATCCTATCTACGAACATGGAGTTGCATATTTCAGAATTATCATGCTATCTGGATGACGGATTGATAATGGCGCGTTGTGGATTTTTTCTCATTTTTGGAAACAAACTTTGCCCAGAGACAAAGAGGCGATTTTCTGCAAATGAACAAATAACTTGAGAAGAAAAGGTGTGTCATGCTCTATTTTATGTTTGTATAGCCTTAAAGAATATATGAATCCCGTCCAAGTGAAGTTTGATGGATTACGGACATCCAGAGATGAAGTGCTTTTAAGGCCAGTCAGTGGCATTTTTTTGCACGAATGGAAGTTTTCTTTTCGTTATGTTTTTTGTGCAGTCAATGGTGTTGCGTTTGGATGCTCTTTGAAAATTAAGCCAAATATAGGCCGCCTACGAATTTATTTAAAAAGAAAAAAGGCGACATATTTCAGCCAACTGGAATTAGAGCCCTTTTATTCAAATATAATTCTATCATTTATAAAGAGTGCATATTCACATTATTGTGTGTTACATTTCGGATCTGCGTAGCTTTGACTGATTTAATGTTCAGTGACATTGCTCACAAAATGTACATTGTGAAAATACTAGAAAAATCCCTATATGTCCCGCTAAATAAAAAGATATTGTATTGTATAGGCTATGCGCAATGGGCACTTCTTTACACGCGGCTTTGCTTGAGTTGTGAGTTTGTAAATGTGCGTAAAAGGCCGGAGTGAGAGCCCTTCACGAAACAATGGTGTGGGCGGGTCGCTGTCCATGGTGCTGAAACACACAGCTGGAGTGCGGCCTCTTTCTCGTACTTCAGCAATAAGAGATTCATTACCTGACTCTATTAGATTGTATGAACTAAAATAAAAATTTTAAAAAGTACGATTATCTTAATAATACTTCAACGCTCAAATATTAAATGTACACACAAACTAAAGTCGAAGAACTAACTCTTTTAAATTATTAATAAATCAGTAGAGGATCATTCCGCTTTTATCTGGGTGTGTCAGAGAATTCCATTTTCTAACAGAACATTTCCACCCACAGCATACAGGTCCTCCACCTCTCTCTCTCACAGGTTTCGTTTAACTCCCCCTGATACTGATCTGATACCCCCCTCCCCCATGAGTGTCCACATGTTTCCCATCATGCACTGCAAAGTGTATTACCGATAGAGTTAACTGAAAGTAAATGTATCAGCAGAGGGAATATGTAGTGAATGTAGGAAACATATTTTTAAGCCAGAATTTATCCTTAAGTGCTTTTGTGCTTATACCTTAAAATAAATCAAATAGGTTAATACCTTTGCCCTTAAATGCCAAGTGTGGATAACAGAGTCTCATAATATATTCTCCACCCACCCACTGGATGATGGTCTGGTTGTGACTGTAGAGACAGAGAACAGAGATGGCGCTTCTGTTGATATTTTTCATGTTGAGTACATCCAAGTAGCCAGTGTAAACATTTACTGTTGATTCGAATAATTAAAGGATTGACTTTCTCAGAGTTTTGCATCAGTCACTACAGTCAGTCCCCTCTGCCTGCTGGTTCAATCTCCACACTCCGCTAGTAGTGAGACGTACTTGCCCTGAGGCAGACTGGCAGGGATGTGGCAGCTGATGTGGCAACTTGAGACAGTTTCTGAAATAGTTACACAGGCACTGGTGGCCAAGTTAGTGATGTCCCGTTCACGTTTTCAGGTGCATATAAACTAAGGAAGAAAACTGAACCACCGATCCTCAAAAAACTGCTCTCCCCCATGGTTCAGAAGTTGGTTTGATTGTTGAGGAAGACATCTAATGCTATTTTTCAGTATTAAACTTTAACATATGTAGATTTCAGTTTGAACATTGTAAACTGCACTTCCTGTTCAAAACTGCAGAAGTGAAAGGCCCCGCCTCAGAGTGACATTTCACTATAACAAGCAATATGCTACAGGCTACATGACATTTAGAATACTACATGTATGACGCAGAGTCAAATATTTTGAATAATCACATTTAAGTAGAGTGGTGGGTGGAGATAGGGGGTAGGTAAGACCAGAAATTTTCTGAGCACTCAGTACATGATTACTAAAACATGCTTGGTTCAATCTGAAAAATAAGGTTGATAAAATGCCATTACAGTATGGTTAAAAGCTGATGCCAGTCTATTTTACATAATATGCCCCTTTAAATCAGCCTACTTTTCATGTGTGGATAAACATGTGGTCAGGACTGGCCTCTTGATTGGCAGGTCACTATGTAACATTATCCCTGTGTATGAGAACAGCGTCTCACAGAGTAAACACCAATTTAGCACAAAAGCGTGGTGACACTGGCAGACAACACAGCACTACGTGTAATGAGCACAATCTGTCAGAGGAGTAAAGAGGCACATTCTAACACTTTATGATAATCCACGCTTTGTTACAACACACAGAGCCATTGGAGCCGACACTAGAGGAAAAATGTTTGTTCACATGGTTGAATAATGAACACGGGCAGCTTTCATTCACTTTATTTATAGATCCTACAAGTGAGAGGCTTCTTCACTCGGCCTGTTTCTTATACCTTCATCTTGTGCACGGTAGAACACAACAGCTGAGAACAAAGGGAAAGTCCTGCTGACAAGAGCCCTCCGATGCCAGCTATGGGACTCCTCAAAGCGTCTCCAAGTGCCAGAGAACCATACGCATTTGGACACTGTCGTAAATTGGCTGATAAACTTCTAATTGTGCTCGTACCAGAATCAAAACTGTGCCCTTAGATAATTCATAAGAAAGAATGTTCAACACATTTTCAGCTCATTTAAAATGATGTTTGATTTTTGTGGGTTTAATGGAATGCTTATTCTCTTTGTTATCTCAGTCCAGATCTATGCTCATTGCACTGTAGAAGTACTCAAAATATAAGTAAAAGTACTGCAATACACAGCTCCTAAAGAAACACATCTATCATTGTAACTACAAAGCTGACACTCTGCTTCTGTACTAGTGATACTTTGCAATATTACTACTAGTATTACTAGCAGTTCAGCTATGGCTTCTAGAAAGTTAAGTTATACCTTTTTGTTCATCTAAAAAAGATACATTTATCTTCTGCAGTTGATCCATTTTTCATAATTAAGATGGAGGATTTTAGCTGTTTGATGTTTTGAGATGTTGAATGAAAATGTATTACCTGGAGGAGACCCACCCAGACACAGGGAGAACATGCAAACACACAGAAGGTCCCCATCCTTCCATGGAATCCAACCTGAGGCTTTTTTGTTGCAATGCAAGAGTGGTACAAAATACATTCACAGAAGTAGCATCCTCCTTCAGTAGTAGTCTAAATTGTATCTGCTTCTTTTGCCTTTTTATATTGTTCCTGCAGCACAGATGGCAACAATAACAGCCTTGGCAATTACATGAAACTTAGATAGCTCACACAAACGCATATGCTTTTGTCCCTTTCCACCATTATATTCCTCTTTAAAGATCCAGGCGGCAGAAATGGCTCTTTTGGCTTTACTTTGTTTAAGTCGTGGACACTGAGGAGATCATAGGTTTCTTTCACTCTGGGAGGTCTGTATTGAAATCTTAATGATGTAATGCTGTGAATGCTATCACTGCAGACACTTCGACTGATTTCTCAGAATCAGAGAATACGCTCTTCATTAACAGGGCTGCTCAGGTTGCCCACACAAACTCGAGTGGACTTTGTGAAGTACTTTTTAGTAGTAAAGTACACTCATGAGAATGAAGCAATTTTTCGTCTTGCAGAATAATACTGTCTGTAATAGTGCCATCATAAGCTTTATCAGTAAGGACACATTTCAATAGTTACAACAGCAGTGATCTGTGAGCTTATCCAATGGTCCAGAATGATGGAAAAGTAGAACAGTTGCCAAAGAATTCAAAACTAAATGTTGCATATAAAAAGAAGCTGCATCCCACAAATAGTTAGACAGCCAAAAGCTGTACCATATATAGTGAATATTACCTCCAAACTATATATTACCAATAATATCCAAACATATTTTTAGAACAGATTCCCTGTTTGTTCAGATGTGGGTGAAGGTTCACAAATAATTGTCTATTTACTATAAAATCATCACATTTTGGTGCATATATAGTTGTCTGAAACAGCATTCACTGTTCCAGGTTTTAGCTTGGCATGTAAACGTCATGGTATTGTGAGCTCCTCTGGCTTAATTGCTGATTTTATTTTGATTATGATTAAGAATTACCTGATTAAAGTATGTTATATAGTACTTAGACATGGTGTAGTTGAGGATTGCAGATATCACACCAGGCACTGAATAAATAACAACAAAAAAGCTTTTAAAATATGAAAGATTGCAAAAATGTCTGTGATCCAGCCATCCTCCAGGAGAAAATATAAGAAAACAGCACACAGTGGAAAAAGCTGTGTGAAAAGTTTGATGCGCCGCCTCCATAGCATAAATAAATCAAAGCTTTACCTTGAAACTCCAGCCACAGAACTCCGTCCATGGTAGCCATATGCTCCATCCTCAGACACTGCCTCTCTCTGTGCACTGATGCATTGTGGGAACCTGGCTTCATCGTAGTTTGCCTTTCAAGATACACCAAGGTCAAGAAAACATGTTGATACAGTTGGCACAGTGGAGATGTTTTTCTGACCTGCTAGTCACAGCCCAGAGTCTGAGCCAGCTTTACAAACATGCACAAGCACAGTACACTAAGTTACTGTGGGTGTCTATAAACAAACTGAGACTGCAATTATATGGACAAGGAGTTTAAGTATTTCAACACCAAATATGAGTACATCTACTACCACAAGCATAGTAACATAAGGCTATTACTATTACTTCCATAAAATCTTGATTCGCGCTTTACAATTGTGTTAATTTTAGACATAAGTATCAGTACAATATCATCCAACCAGTGTACTT